AAATAATTAATATATTTTCCCATTTAATTAGTCCCACCTACCTAAGTAACTCTTAATTTATAAAAAAATAAATTAACTCTCATTTAATTTTATTAAATCAAATCTCACATACTATAATTATTTCCTAATTTATGGAAGAATCAATTAACTTTTATTTAATTTTATTAAATGGAATTAAAATAAAATTAAAATAATTTTTTGGTTCTTCTTCCTCGACCTTCTTTTTTGTTTAAATTGTTAAAACAAACTATAATTATTTCCTAATTGATTCTTCCATGATTAAATTCCATTTAATAAAATTAAATAAAAGTTAATTGATTCTTCCATGAATTAGGAAATAATTATAGTATGTGAGATTTGATTTAAGACAATTAAATGAGAGTTAATTTATTTCTTTCTAAGTTAAGAGTTACTTATGGTAGGTGTGACTAATTAAATGGAAAAATATATTAATTGTTTTAATTTTTAAATATAAATAAAGTAAAATTCAGAATTAAAGTAGTTTTTAAATTATTTAAAATTAAAAAAATCCATATAATCATCTTTTACATGATGGATTTTCTACCTAATATTGAAAATGTAAAATAGTCAATCACTTAACAAAAAAATTAGCCACATCAACACTTAATTTACAGATGACGAAATTGGTGTTGAAAATTGAAGTTGAAGGATGTTTTCGCTACTTTTTGAAGTTCAAGGATGAATTTGGTTCAAAAATAAAAGTTGAGTGACCAATTCAAGTATTTAACTTAAAAAAATATGTTAGTGGCGTCAACATTACCATCTAATTAATTCTTAAATAAAAAAATTTTATATCACTCTAAAAAAAATATTATCAATAATTTATTTTACGACAAATTTTAAAGAAAAAGAATGTAGGACTAGGGACATTCTGGTAACTCCGTGCTGAACCTACCTATCCCAAGAAAAGTAAAGGCCCCCCTGCTCTCTATTCCTTCTCCCAAAGCTTGATATAAACCCCTTCAAGCTCCCATCCCATAGAGGAATCTCCTTTCAAAGTTGAAAACTTTGAAGCTCACTGTTCTTTGAAAATTACTTAAAAAAGCCTTTCATTTCAAGCTCCTCTCTCCATTCTCACCAAGTAACAAAACCCTTTTCGTTTTTTTATCATCTCCTTTCTCAATCCAAAAGCAGAACCTTTTTCTCTGTTCTAAACTTTTGGGTCTCCCCAGTTTGCTTTTCTTGTGAATCATGGGTCTGTTCTCGCTTTTGTTGCTTTCAATCTTTTCACAATCCACTGATTCTCATTTCGGTTTTGATGCATAACACTAACACGCCATAGTTGAGGCTGTAAGACACCGTGTTTTGAGTCGAACATCTACAAACTTAAATTGCTTAGTTGGTATTACATAATTGGGCTGTGAAAGGTAATCAAATTTGTTGGGGTAACTAAAGATGAATGCTTTGATTCAAAGTCAAAACCTTTCTTGTTCCTCTGAGTTTCCTGATTCTCTCTGGATACCCACATCCTCTGCTCTTCAGGGTAATTGACTAATCCACCTTTTCTCTCTCTGTTCTTTGTTTCTTGTGGGAGTTGTTCTTTGCACAAACTTAATTAATGGGTTTTCTATGGGTTGCTTGTGGGATTGCATTCTAAAGTCAAGATCGTACTATTTTGCTTGTTTTGAAGTCATGGGCTGTTCAACTTTTCCTCTCTAAGGGTTCACTTTATCATATCATATAAGAAATGGTAACACAGAGTCTGATCTTTTGGTCTCTGTTTTCCTCTGGTTTTAGGTCCAAAATCGATGGCTGATTACGAGAATGAGAATGGAGCGTTGCCATTCTTCCAACTTCTTGATAAGGAAGAAGATGGAGATGACGATTTTGATGGGTCCTATAGTCGGCCAGGGAAGAAAAGGCGGCTGACAGCGAGTCAAGTTGAGTTCCTTGAGAAAAGCTTTGACGTTGAGAACAAGCTGGAGCCGGAGAGGAAGATCCGGCTGGCAAAAGAACTCGGCCTGCAGCCTCGCCAGGTTGCAATTTGGTTTCAAAACCGGCGAGCCAGATTCAAGAACAAGCAACTGGAGAAGGACTATGACTCCCTGAAATCCAGCTATGACAAGCTCAAGAATGACTGTGACAATATTCTCAAGGAGAAGGAAGATTTGAAGAATCAGGTAATCCTTTTTGCGAAGAAAATATACAACACAATTACCCATTCTAATTTCTTTTATAATTCACAAGATAATTATTACTTTTGGTTTAAACAGATCCTTTCCCTTAAGGAGAAATTGCTAAAGAAGAAAGGGGAAGAGAGTTCTGTTCAAACTGACGCTATTAATTCTTGGAATTCAGAACCTTGTCAACCCATTTCCGATGCAGTTCCAGGGAATGTTTCCAATTTGATCTGTAAACAGGAAGAATCAATTTCAGCAAAAAGTGTTGTCTTCGACTCGGAGAGCCCAATTTACACAGATGGGAACAATTCTTCTTTGATGGACCCTGCTAATTCTTCTAACATTTTCGAACCAGAGCAATCGGATTTTTCCCAAGAAGAAGACGATAACCTCAACCGGAGCCTTCTGCACCAGCCATACTTCCTGAAACTTGAAGACGACTGCAGCATCCTACCTGAAAATTCTTGTAGTTTCGGATTCCCAGTGGAAGATCAGTCATTCTGGTCATCCCCCTACTAATTATGATCAGCTCACTATAATTTATTCATCATCTGAGTGTCCTTTATTATAATAATTTATTAGTAAAGCAATATATCATCTTTTTACAAAATCATTTAGAACGTGTGTAAAACTTCCAAGAAAAATCAATGGGTAGTTGAAGAACGTAGGCCCTGCACAAACAGAGGAAAATAGTGGTTTTCGATGCTAGAAGTTAGTATGTTTAAATGCCAATGGTACATATCAATTAAAACCCTATGGTAAGATCGACCTACAATTACGGAAGTGTAGTTAGGAGTGGTTGGGTATTCAGGTTAAGAATTCGGGTACCCAGGTTAAGAATTCAGGCACTCAGGTTTCGTTCCACAATGTTTTGCAAGTATTTTGATATTTTTTTCAACAATAAAATATTTTGACTTTTAATTAATATTTTATATATCTTTTATATAATAAAAAGACACAAGTATGGGTTACAATGACAAAGCTGATACGTTAGTCACTCGTGTGGTTACTATGTAAAGTTTTTACTTATATTATTGGAATTTCAATTCTTTTGTTCCCTAATTCCCCCTCCCCTTCTCCCCAATTCCCCTTGTACAAGGAAAAAAACGAAAAAAAAAAAAAAACATACGGTTATAATGACATAATTTAGAACCGAAAAACGAAGCCATAATTTAGTACCAAAAAAACAACGCCTTAAGTTAACATTT